TGATTACATTGTGCAGGAACATGACATCGCAGAACACTTAGACCAACCAAAATCAAGGAGCTAACGTGGAGTAATATGAAGCTACCAATTGGATTACAAGCCATATCAAGGGAGTCTTTTCTTCATTTTCTTCTCCACCCCTTTATATGCGCATTTAGAATTTAAGACATTGAGGACGATGTCTAGTTTAAGTTTGGGGGTAGAAAATATGAGTTTCATTTTTCTATGTGTTTTTATTGTTTTAGATAAAATCAAAAAATAAAAAAAAATTCAAAAAAAAAAATTTCTTTTTGTATGCTTGTGTGAGTTAGTTGGTTTGACTGGCAATGAGAAATATTTTAAATCATAAATTGATCTATAAATGGTGAATAAGTTGCATGTTTAGATTAATTTTTGCTTTTCCATGTGAAATTTGATATATTGAACACATGAATTAAATTAAGCATTGTGTAGGAATGAGTTGGTTTCATAATTGGATATGTNAAAGAAAAAAAAAAAAAAATTCAAAAATATATTCTTTTTGTGTGCTTGCGTGAGTTAGTTGACCTGGCAATGATGAATATATTGAATCATAAATTAATCTATGATGGAATAAGTTGCATGCCTAAATTAATTTTTGTTTTTCCATGTGAAATGTGATATTTATTGAGCGCATGAATTAAGCTAAGTATTGTGTAGGAATGAGTTGATTTCATAATTGAATAGGTTAAAATAGTGGACCATAGAAGCCAAACCTAAAACCACTAAATTTTACATCCTTGGACCAAATTTAGAATAGTTTAGGGGGATTTCACTGTTGTGGGAAAATATTGAGATAAATGAAGATTCCATGTGTGAAAAAAATCTTGTATGGATCGTCTAAGGTCAATAGGACGCAATTGGCTGAAAATCTCGAGTTAGAGATCGTTTTACTTAAATTGGTGTTTAATGAGGGACATAACACTAATCAAGACAGAAAAAAATATTTTATTTGAAAATTTCTCTTCGTAGCCTTTATGATTCGAGCAATTAAGCCTGCAAGGGTTTTTAAAATCGGTGCCCTATGGTCATCTGACTTGGGAGTCATCGGCTGAAAGTTTGTTACATGGGTCATTTAGAAAATTTGAGGGAGAGAATACTTCAAATAAAGAAGAAAAATAAAGAAAAAATGTTACAAAAAAATTGAAAAAAAATAGAAAAAGCAAATACATGAAATAGAAGACGCATCAAATGCCTTGGTTATGTCCCAAACACTTATTTGGAAAAAATCGACTTTTTGATAAGAGATTATTGGCCTAATTAAATCCTAGAGATTGAAGCAATCAAACTGTGGAGAATCCTTGTTTATTGACATATTGATTTGCAATTAGTGAGATTTATCTAAACTAGAGAGGTGAGGATATTTGAAAATTCAACCTTAGGTCTTACATTTGGAAATAACGAAAAGAATAAGTTTGAGGGTGTGTGAATCTTACGAGCGATGAAAGACCATATTTGACCATTGAGGATCGGGAATTGAAACAACTTGCGAATTCATCATGCTATGCTTAATTCTTCATGCACACACACGTCAATTTTATATTGGAAAAGCGGATTTTGATTTTTGTATTGTGATTTTGAAGTTGTCTATAGATCTGATTATGATTTCAATCTTGAGATAAAAAGTCGGGGTATCTAGCTAAATTGTTTTGTTTTACTTGATTATCTGGCCACCAATTAGGTAATTAGCACCGCATGTTTGTGTGTTTGTTAGATTTTAGTTTTGTTTGACGACAAACAAAGATTCAAGTTTGGGGGGGTTTGATAAGTGTATTTTCTACACTTATTCAGGGTTAGAAATTATAGAATTTTATTATTCTTTAGGCTAAATATGACCTAAATTGTGTTATAATTCATCTTATAGGTAAAACTCAATATTTAATGA